TATCCCAAATCAAAAGTAATGCATTCTCCATGTTATCAAAAGAGAGAAAAAAATCCAAGTGATATGTTCTATTAATCATGTAAATGAATACACTGATTAAACATTTAAACCTTGATGAGGCAGCTGAGGAGGAAAAGATGTGTTCAAGAAGGAAAAAGAGAAGCTGCATCAGAATTCTGCCTGAATGGTCTTATTTTTGTCAAATTATAGGTATATTAAAGAAAAAAGTAATGAGGGCTGCAGCTTCTGACTTGTGAGATGGTAGTGATAAACAAGGAGACAGTAAAGGCAGACTGAATTATAGGAACAGTATGGTCCTACTTTGGTGAAAGTAACTCCCAGATCTAAAAGTCTATAATTGTCTGAGTGTGTGTGTGTGTGTGTGTGTGTGTGCGCACGTGCACGCGTGCACACATGAGAAGGGCATGCAAGGACCCAAACTGCCTATTGGCTTTGAGGATTGGTGAAGAATAAGGAGAGTGCTGGAGGTGATGATTGACTTTTTTAAATGCATTTTGAATGTTTTTATTGTTACAAGGAACATGCGGTTTTTTAAAATCTGAAAATGAAATACTTACATGTTACCCCATTTCTTAGCTTGGATTGATACAACAAATTTCCATAGACTATAGGCAACAAACATTTATACCTCACAGTCCTGGAGGCTGAAGTCTGAGATGAGGTCAGATTCTAGTGAGGCCCCTCTTCTGGGTTGCAGATGACAACCTCTCACCATGTCCACATATTGGAGAACGAGGACAAGAGACGCTGGGGTCCCTTTCATAGGGATACTTCTTCTGTTCATGGAGGTTCTGACTTCGTGGCTTACTTAACTCCTGAAGGACCCACCTCCTGATGCCATCATATTGGGAATTAAGATTTCAACACATGTGCTTTGGGGGACACACAGATGTTGAATCCATAATGCCTTCACCATTCAAAAAAAGGGTTACTAGGAACCAGCCCCACAATCCCTTGCTCTCCTCCTCTTTCCACCCTATACTCCTCTTCAAGGTGATACCAATTTCACAATGTTGTATTTTTCTCAGAAAACTGTTGTACTTTGTCCCCAGTGTTTTTAATCTGACCCATGTCATGATTCTTATAAAAATATCTGTGGAACCCTTGATTCTTTAAATTAAAAAATCATCCTGGAGCTGTTTTGGCATTTCACCTCAGTCCCTCTTGCTAATCTATTTGCATGCATACCACTTTTTAATTGAATAATTAAATTCAATTTGAATAATTACTCTTAATAAGACATGAAGTCTTCAGCCTGCCTGGGCTAATTTTACAAAGACACTCCCTTGATTACCTCTCTTGCCTTGGAAAATGTGGCACATTTGCTGTGAACACTGAGGGGACAGGAAACCTCTCTACTGCATTCCCTCAAACCTGCCCCAAATCATTTATCCTTGAAAGCTTCTTGAGTTACTCTTGCTCTTTGAATCCCTTTGGGCTCATTGTTTTTTCATAACCACTGTCTTAGTAAGCTTAGGCTGCCATGACAAAATACCAGAGGCCAGGTGGTGTGAACAACAAATATTTGTGTCTTACAGTTCTGGAGGCTGAAAGTCCAAGATCAAGATACTGGCAGATCTGGTCTCTGGTGAGGGCCTGCTTCCTGGTTTGCAGATGGCGGCCTTCTTGCTTATATCCTCACTTGATAGACAGCAACAGTTCTAGTTTCTTCCTCTTCTTATGAGAACACTAATCCCATCATGGTGTTCCACCTTCATTCAGCCATCATCTAAACCCAATTGCTTCCCCAAGGCCCCCCCTAATACTGTCACATGGAGGGTTAGGCTTTCAACATCTGAATTCAGATATGAGAGAGACACAAGCATCCAGTCCATGATAAACTATCATAGCCTGTACATATCACTCTACAGCTACCAGCACATGTGTCCTTTTTCCAAGTTTGTGGAATTCCTCAATGTCCAGGACATTATTTAGCATTATTTTTGCATTTGTAGTACCTCAAGTAGTTACTGACACCTTTTATCTCCCGTTGTCTGTCCTCTCTGACACTGTACTAGGTACTGTCTCTGAGATCAAAAGATAAAGTCTTATTTCTCAAATATCTCAGAATTTCCATGGGGGAGGAAGTTAAATAAAGAGAGTAAAGCAGAGTGCAATGCTGTTTGACAGGAACATGCCTAAGTCGCTGTGGCTCTCAGAAGAGACTCATTCTGAGAGTAGAAGAGGAGGAGTGGTTGGCCAGGAAGGCTTGGAAGAGGTGTTTGTTTTGAGTCTTCCAAGCCAAGGAGGAGTTAGCTCAGTGGGGAGGATGGAAGAGGATCATTCTAGACAGCAGATGCCATATGCACATGGTAGCTAGAAGACTGACCCCATCTGAGGGGATGATTGCAGTATGTCAAGGAAGGAATGGAACAAACAGTATGTGCATAGACATGCAAATCTTAAAATACCAGTGTCATAGGGGAACAGAGTTCACTGCAGCAGAGATCTGTTGGTGGTGCAATAGAGATCTGTTTCCATAGGCTGGAAAACTAGGCTGCAGCTGAAGAGTAAAATAACCTTGGGTCCTAAGCTAAAGTGTTGGATTTTTTTTTCCTGGTTGGCAAGAAGAATCCAACACATCTCAGCCTCCTCCTGCCCTGAAAAGTTGTAGCCTTTTATTTACATTTGATGATCAACAATAAAGTATGCAGATAGAAGTTGTCTTAATTGCCGATTTAATCAAACTCATAGATTTTTTTAATGACTGTGAAGATAATGGGGACCGTTCTATTTTAGAAGAAATGAAAAATAAATCAGAAGGTGAACTGGAGTGAATAAAAAGAACCATAGGCTATTCCCCTTCTTGGTCTATTCCCTAAAGACCTAAAAAGAGCATACTACAGGGACACTGCTACATCGATGTTCATAGCAGCACAATTCACAATACCAAGACTGTGGAACCAACCTAGATGCCCTTCAATAGACGAATGGATAAAAAAAAATGTGGCATTTATACACAATGGAGTATTACTTTGCATTAAAAAATGACAAATCATGGAATTTGCAGGGAAATGGATGGCATTAGAGCAGATTATGCCAAGTGAAGCTAGCCAATCCCTAAAAAACAAATGCCAAATGTCTTCTTTGATATAAGGAGAGTAACTAAGAACAGAGTAGGGACGAAGAGCATGAGAAGAAGATTAACATTAAACAGAGATGAGAGGTGGGAGGGAAAGGGAGAGAGAAGGGAAATTGCATGGAAATGGAAGGAGACCCTCAAGGTTATACAAAATTACATACAAGAGGAAGTGAGGGGAAAGGGAAAAAAAGGAAAAAAAAAAACAAGGGGGAGAAATGAATTACAGTAGATGGGGTAGAGAGAGAAGAGGGGAGGGGAGGAGAGGGGAGGGGGGATAGTAGAGGATAGGAAAGGCAGCAGAATACAACAGACACTAGTATGGCAATATGTAAATCAGTGGATGTGTAACTGATGTGATTCTGCAATCTGTATATGGGGGTAAAAATGGGAGTTCATAACCCACTTGAATCAAATGTATGAAATATGATATGTCAAGAACTATGTAATGTTTTGAACAACCAACAATAAAAATTAAAAAAAAAAGAATCATAGAGTCATACTTAGATAAATCAAATCAAGGAGAAAAATGAGACACTTTCTAATACGTACATGCCGGGCTCTGTGCTAGCAGCTACAAAGGCAGAAACCCTCCTTGGTTCACCATGGTGCTTCATTAACTGACTTATTTATTTTTTGATATCTGCAGAAAAATATCATATACTACTTGCATTCTGATCTTTGCTACTCTAAAGAAAGAGTAAAATAGACTTTAAATTTGTTAAGTTAAAAGAAGTTGCTTTTACAAGTAAAATCTAAAAACTACTATTTGTTTTTTTTTAATTTTTATTATTAGTTGTTCAAAACATTACATAGTTATTGACATATCATATTTCATACATTTGATTCAAGTGGGTTATGAACTCCCATTTTTACCCCGTATACAGATTGCAGAATCACATCCGTTACATATCCACTTTTTTACATATTGCCATACTAGTGTCTGTTGTGTTCTGCTGCCTTTCCTATCCTCTACTATCCCCCCTCCCTTCCCCTCCCCTCCCCTCTTCTCTCTCTGCCCCCTCTACTGTCATTCATTTGTCCCCCTTGTATTATTTTTCCCTTTCCCCTCACTTCCTCTTGTATGTACTTTTGTATAACCCTGAGGGTCTCCTTCCATTTCCATGCAATTTCCCTTCTCTCTCCCTTTCCCTCCCACTTCTTATCCCCGTTAAATGTTAATCTTCTTCTCATGCTCTTCCTCCCTGCTCTGTTCTTAGTTGCTCTCCTTATATCAAAGAAGACATTTGGCATTTGTTTTTTAGGGATTGGCTAGCTTCACTTAGCATAATCTGCTCTAATGCAATCCATTTCCCTGCAAATTCCATGATTTTGTCATTTTTTAGTGCAGAGTAATACTTCATTGTGTATAAGTGCCACATTTTTTTTTAACCATTCATCTATTGAAGGGCATCTAGGTTGGTTCCACAGTCTAGCTATTGTGAATTGTGCTGCTATGAACATTGATGTAGCAGTATCCCTATAGTACGCTCTTTTAAGGTCTTTAGGGAATAGTCCGAGAAGGGGAATAGCTGGGTCAAATGGTGGTTCCATTCACAGCTTTCCCAGGAATCTCCATACTGCTTTCCAAATTGGCTGCACCAATTTGTAGTCCCACCAGCAATGTACAAGTGTACCCTTTTCCCCACATCCTCACCAGCACTTGTTGTTGTTTGACTTCATAATGGCTGCCAATCTTACTGGAGTGAGATGGTATCTTAGGGTGGTTTTGATTTGCATTTCTCTGACTGCTAGAGATGGTGAGCATTTTTTCATGTTCTTGTTGATTGATTGTATGTCCTCCTCTGAGATGTGTCTGTTCAGGTCCTTGGCCCATTTGTTGATTGGGTTATTTGTTTTCTTATTGTTTAATTTTTTTTATGTGTGTTTTTTTTGTTAGGTCAGTGTGAACCCATTACCCTGGAACTCTGCATGAATTTGCCCTACAACCATACAAATTATCCAAATTATCTTGGCCACCAGACTCAAAAGGAAGCATCCATCAGCTGGGAGTCCTCGCTCTTTCCAGCACTGGTTCAAACGAACTGTTACAAATACCTCATGTTCTTTGCTTGTACCATTTTGGTACCAAAGTGTGATGTGAACACAGGCCAGCGCATCCCCCCCTGCAGGTAATATGATGGGGTCTTCAATGAGTATCCTAATTTTATTTCCAGAAGATCTAACAGAAAGAAGATGTCGTCAAGTTCAGACAAAATAAATATCGCTAAAAGTCTCTGGATTTAACAAATGATATATTTAAAAAGTAAAGTAGTAAGAATGGTAAAATAAGTATGTGAGTAAGAATCCATGACTCCAGAGAAGTCAGGGAAGCGAGGAGGTTGTGCACTATCTTTGATGATAGGTCATGCACTTGAATAATAAAACCACACACATTTCATTGGAGTGGGTCAAGAAGCATTTTTAAAAACTGTAGTTAGCAGAGAAAGGAGGCATACGTGTCTCTTTTCTCTGTCAACATTGATGAGTTTAAAATGCTGCATTCTGATAGCACTCAAAAGTGAGAGATATTACACAGGGAGACAGAACACCAGCCTCACAGCTTGGATGGGGATGGACATCACTGACATTTTTCTGCTTCTCTGAATGAAGTTAAGTAAGGGACAGAAACTGAGAGTGTGGCTTGGACTTTGTGCATGAGTGATAACCTAGACATCAGAAGTGTTGTTCTGGAGTGCACTGTTTGCATTCAAGTTCTAGATCCCTAGCTGGAGTGGAGCCTTAAGGCAAATTCTTCAGGCTCTCTGCCTTGGTTCCTTTACCTGGTAAAATACTAAGGTAATGGGTTGTTGTGAGATTAAATGAAAATGCATAAACAGAAAGTCCTCTCATGGGTTGTGAGCCCTGTGATGAGATAGCTATGATGACAGCACAGGAGCACAGTTGCTTAGTGAAGGTGTTGTTCGTCCTCCATGCCATGGGTTAGAGATTGCAGTACAAGAATGTGCCCATACAAGATGACTATCACAGTCAGTGCTGTTTCCCATTAAGGGTGACTATGCAGATGTGCTTGCCAAAACATGAGTGGTAACTACACAAACCATATGTTAGGATCAGAAGTCACTTAGAACTTCAAGAAAAGGCAATAATATCAATATAGTAGACAGATGGGAAAACCATAAATTAAATACTAAATACCAAATGGATGACAAAATAGGGCCATCTATGGAGTCAGAACAGGAAACAATAAAATTACAAAATGATTTGGGGTCCTTGTTAAATCATACAAAATGAGGAGTGTAAAAATATCAGCTTGTGCAAAAATAGTTCTGAAAATTTCCGTCAAATTGTCTTTTCAAGTATCACCAATAGAATAGATAACAACTTTATATTGAAAAGCCATTTGTAAATCTCATTCTACTTTTGCTAAGTAAGGTCAATGGTGATAGTGAATAATTATTTTTAATAGTACCTCACATAGTCTTTGATTTTTCTTATATGTACATAAAATTTTTTCTGAATGCAAATTCTTTGCTGTGAATATAAATTATCTCCATATATAATTTTATAATTTCAGGGTTCAAATTTTAAATTAGAATGACTAAGATGAGACTGGTTCTGAGGAATTATTCAGTTAACATTTTGGTGAACTTCTCTGGATGCTTTTATTCTGTTTCTTAGATTTTACTCATATATCTTTCATCTTCAGTGGCTAGCAACATAAATTTTATATTTTGATATTTGTTTATAAAATTTTAAATATTATGACAAGAGATATGCTAAGAAGCTCATGAGCAATACTTAGTTGATGTTGCCAAGACTGTTTATTAATATTAACATTTAACTTTTAAGTCATTTGTCTAAAAAAATATTGAACATTACAGTCATGACAGTATGCTAGATACTTGAGGGTCATTATGCTGTCTCTTGTTCACAATAGTCTTTTGAGTGAGGTGTGAAATGTGAGGATTGCTGCCTATGACTGAGCACCATGCAGGTTATGATGAGAACAGCACTCTCTGGAGTTGTGGTGCTGCATACTCAGGGATTTCCATTTTTTAGAAAAAAAATTGAAGTGGTAGAGTCAGGGACTATGCAGTTTTCTGTATAAGTTAGGAATCTGTGGTTAACTTAAAATAACAGCAGCAATTGAGATATATACATTTGTTGTAAATCTGAAATAGAACTATTTAGTCCAACAGACAGTTATTGAGCACTATTGAACTTCCCATTTTTGCAAACCGAATATTAGAGTGCTTTGGCTTCATTCTCATTCCGAATTCTGAAGCCAAACTGAGTTATGCTTTGCTTGTGTGGACTTACACCTAGATAGAGTTTCTGTGAATCTTCCTCATTTGATTGCTAAACTTTCCCCAGCAGTTTCTAGCAAGACACTGGAACTGATCTTTCTGTAATATATGTCCTGATTCATCTAAAAAAAAAAAAAAGGAGAAACTGGTTGAGATTAGTTATACAGATTGTATATCTTTTGTCCAAAATGCTTGAGATCAGAATATTTGCATAAACTTTATTGGTTGAACATCCGTAAAATCTGAAAATCCAGAATCTGAAATGTTCCAATTTGGATTTTGGAGCATTTCAGATTTTAGACTTCTGATTTAGGGATGCTCAACCTGAAGTTTAAAGTTTGATTTTCTTGAGAAGTAAGAATGTATTTAAAAGAAAATAAATCTGCCTAGTGTCTTTCTGGTTATGCCTACTTTTTTCTAACTATGTAATTAATTTTTGAGTAATAAAGCAAAAATACCTCCCACCCCCCATATCCCCAGAAGGTAAGGAAACCTCCTTTGAGACATGTTGATACCTAAAGTTAAATATGTCCCAGGCATAAATGAGATAACATACACAAAAGCACCCAGCACAGTTCCTCCTGAGTAGCTGGGATTATAGGCATGCATCACTGTGCCTGGCTTGTGCACATTCTTAGTGTAATTTTTCTTTAAAAAAACAGTTTCACTGGGCATGGTGGGGCATGCCTGTAATCCCAGCAGCTCAGGAGGCTGAGGCAGGAGGATTATGAGTTCAAAGCCAGCCTCAGCAAAAGCAAGGTGCTTAGCAACTCAGTAAGACCCTGTCTCTAAGAAAAATACAGAATAGGGCCGGGGATGTGGTCCAGTTGTTGAGTGCCCCTGAGTACAATCCCCAGTTGCCCCCCCCCCCCCCCCCCCCCCCCACACAAAAAACAAAAACAAAACAGTTTCATTTTAACCAACTTGATTTCAATGTAGATAAGTTTGGGACCGCTACCAAGTTTTTCAACAAATTGTTGAAACTGAAATAAGGGAGGCAATGCCTTAGGTAAGCCAGAGTGGCCCATGAGGTGTCTCCCTAGCTGGTCATAGGAGGGAGAGACCTCAGAGGATGGGAATGTTGTGTAGACTCTTGGCAGCAGACTACCCAAAGTGGACTCAACCTGCTTGGTGTAAAGGAGTGGAGAACTTGTTTTCTTGAAAGACCAAAGAGACAGTGGGAAAGGCCAACTAGAGAAGAAAATCTGCATCTGGGAAAAATCCTTGTTTCTCTTTTTAAAATGAAATTTCTTTTGGTGAAAGTATATTTCTGGAACATATTCTATTTGTAGAGCTATTTCTCACTTTAGCTTCCTAAATACCTCTATGTATGTGCATGTCTCTATATTTGCATACATTACTCCTTACATATAGACCCAGACTCTCACTTGATAGAATTACAACCCTTCATACATTCCTAACATCTGTCCCATCTGCCTCTGACATTCTGACTTTCTTGCTGTTTTAGAGTACTGTGTGAACACTCCAAAGAACGCTGTGAGTCTGTTCTTGGGATCGTGGGCTTACAGTGGCCTGAAGACACAGATTGTAATCAATTTCCAGAGGAAAATGCAGACAATCAAACCTGCCTGATGCCTGATGAGGATGTGGAAGGTTAATTTTTAAATTAGTTACAGTGGGGCATCTACCTTGAATGCACACATCAGCTACCTTTTGAAGTCTTTCTGTTTTGAGGGAGGTGGTGTTGTTGCTTTTCTATTTAGTAGCGAGTCAAGCAGCACAGGACTTGATTTCATTGTTGACTTTCGTGTATATCTGTTAGACATTGTCATCATTTTAAAAATAAGTCACTTTAAGAAATAAATATATTTGAACTCAGAGATGAGTTCAAATTTTCAGCTGTTTGCCCTTTTAACCATACTTCACTTGCAGAGCTGATTGTATATGGTTACTACTTCTGAGCTGCAGTCCTGGCAGTAAAGGTGAACATGAATCTTTGGTTCCTTCATGCTCAAAGCATTTAGGGGCCTTGACAATATAGGATCACTAAATGGAGAAGTGTTATTGAGAACCTGTCCACCATGGGGAAATATTGGAATTTGGAGGTGATTTTGACACACTGAAGGCAGCTGAGTGGTCATAAGCACTGATTACACATGGTACTTTGGGCTCTGGCCACTGTTAGGTGGTGTGTTTAAAAAGATAATTCATCACTGGAAAGCATGGATACTAAATTGCTGATCCAAAAAGATGACAATAAGGATGAAGGAGAAAGATGCTTATTACCAAACAGAAGAGAACCTAGTAAACCTCAGATGTTTTAGCTTTTGGAGGGCTTTCCTGTCTTCAATAATAGCTGCTCAGTGACATGCCGCATGTAAATAGATCATTTAGCTGAAGTTTTTGGAGTTTCTGTTCGTTGAGAGTAATATTGTTTTTAACAGAATGTTCACCGAGTCACTTTAAATGCCACTCAGGAAGATGTGTTCTGGCTTCCAGAAGATGTGATGGCCAGGCTGATTGTGACGATGACAGTGATGAAGAAAACTGTGGTATGTATGTGAGCTTAGGAAAGGGCTGCGTTGAAGAACATAACTTTCAAGTACAGCATTGAATCATGACTAGGATCAAATGCTAATGTGTCTGCTTCTTTTATTATTAAACAGCAGAGCATGGATTGATGTGTTTTTCCTGTAACCTCTTGATTTTCTCTAAATTACACTTCTATTTATAACCTTAATGGTATATGTGCAAATACTTAGTAAAAGAAGAAACCGTTCACAGATACAAAGAATCATTTTTGTAATTTAATTATAAAGAAGAGGTTATATGGTTTTCTGCCAAAACAATAGTATTTTTGTGTGTATTTCCTAAGTTGCCAAATAGGCATCGAAATGCATGAAGACAGAGTTGAATCTCCAATGTTCAAATTTAATAGGGGGTCATTTCCATGCCCTCTCTTACCTTGTCTCTGTCAGCAAAGGATAAAACTCTTCTTGATGTTTCTACCATTGAGCTCCAAAATCACCAATGGAAAGGTGAGAAATACCAATGGTAATTTCAGTGGAGCCAATTCTTATTTTATTTCCCTGTAAACTTTGGTACTTATAAGCTCAGAATGTGCCAGAGAATAGAAAGCAGGCAGTACTTTTAGTAAACAGTATTCTGGAATAAAGCAAATGATTGAAGGGCTATCCAAAGACTGGTTGTGTTATGATTATTTAGCTTGTCATGCCCCAGAATAAAATTGACACTTTTTTCATCGAAAGCACATATGGCAATACATCTTTCGAGATCATTTCATTCTTCTGGCCTTTGAGGTATGAAATATTGCCTTGCTTCCCTAAATGAAATTTCTTCAGACTTTCTTGTTTCACCAAATGTCACAAACAGTCAATAGAAATCCTAATGGCTACCATAAATATGGACAAGTATATCTTCTAGAAAATTACAGCTGTCAGAATGACAGTGCAACAGCCAGGGCTAATTTTTACTATGGAGGAACATGTGTTTCCTTGTTGTGTCTTTCTTTTAAAAATAAATCAAAATTATTTGAATATCATTTATATGCATTTATTGAGAATGCATTAAATTTGTTTGCTTAAAATGATTTTGATGAGTTATCCTATGCTGAGATGCACTTCAAAATGGGTTATCTTAGATAGTTCACAGAGGTTGCATGGTATTCTACTAGAGTGGCTAGACTCACATTTTCAGCAGGGAAACTAAATATTTGAGAAATGCAAAAACTGTTTTGTTTTTGTTTTGCATTTCTTGGCAGATAGCTTTGACATGACTAAAAAGTCTGCATTCTGGAATATGTTATACAAAAAAGTACTATAGTATAGGATAGGTTTAATTGACCCTAAACTATCAGGTTTCTAGCTAATAATAAGTTTTCATCAATACTTTAATCAAATAATTTAAGGTGTACCAAAATTCTAAAATAGACTGATCTCTATTAAATATTCAAAAATACTATGGAGAGCTAATCAAGAAAAAAATTAAGATAGGCAAGAAATTAACACATTGGTGTTAAATTAATTGTTGTAAATGTACCAATTTAAGAGAAAATTCTCATTTAATATTTCAATGCAACTTACAGTAGATATTTTATGTGCCCCTTTGGGACATATGCATGCCCTTACATGGACTTACAGCAGGTTGGGAGGATAAACCACATACAATTAATAAGGAAATTGGATTGACAGAGACCCAAAAGAGGACTATTAACAATTCATTCAGTTCCCCTTTTCTGTTTGTTTTCAGGTGTGCATCGGCATACCATTTGGTAATGCAGACACCAGCCCCAAAGAAACTGGGAAACGGGGTTGCATACCAAATTCACGTTTTTCTGATTGATTCTATCCATTGGGGTATTGAAGGAAGTTAAATGCTAAAGCTTTCCTGAGTAATATGATGTTTAACTCTTCATGAATTTACAGATTTCTCCCAGATTCTAACAACATTATTAAATTTTCCCCTTGAAACAATACTTATTTAATTCAGTTATAAAATATTCGATGTGTTAGAAATTAATTTTACTTTGCATTTCTTTAGCACTTTTCTAGAACCTCATCTATGGTGGTGTTATGGTAAGAATTGAATTTTTCAAAAAAAAAAAAAAAAACCACAGTTTTTTTTTTTTCTCAAAGCTGATTCAAAGAAACCCAAATCAATCACCTACAATTTTTCCCCATTTATTTGTACAAAGTCAGATGAAATAACATTTTGGAAGAGACTCCTTATTTGATCAATACTTTGTATTCCACTCACCTTTAAATAAATTATAATTTCCTGGGAACCACAGTCTTAGTGTTCATTACATAAATTCCACTTACAAATGTGTTGAGGGCCTAACACATGCTAGCTGCTATTCAGGCAGGAGCATGAAGGGTGCTTAAAAGCTAAGTGCTGTGCTCTCTCTTCCTTCATGTCCCTCACAACCAGGTGAGGACCATGAATCTGACTGGAGTGACAAACACATTAGACACTTGGCATGTTTCAGAAAACATGAAATGCACTTCATTTGAGTCAAATGGCATTTATGAAGTCCACGATAAATGCTTTTTATTGCATATGCATATTGCAGCTCAAGTTAGGGACGTAGAGCCTTGCTCTTGTCCAATCATGTTCATTTCTCATATTGATTGATAAAGTTTCCAACCTTAGATCTCTGACTTCTGTAAAGTATTTCCTTTTGCACCTGGCTCTTAAAACTAGTTTTGTAGATATTTAGCATGGGGAGAAAGTGTTTTGCTAAATTTACAGATATCCTCTCAAATTGTAAAGTGAAATTACATTTTAAGATCACATGCATTTGTATCTCTATGCTTTGGCATACTTGCTTTAAAGCACAACTCATTTTTTGTAGAGAAGTCTTATGTGTTGGCAAATTGATTCAGAAAGCAAAAGGAGCAGCTCAATGTGAATGTGAATGAGTAGTTGCTTTTTCATTTTTTTTTCCTCGTTTCCCATATGTTGATTTTGTTCTTCTGTTAGGAGAGCTTTATGGTGCAGGATAAGGACTATTGGGGGCTTCTACTCTCAAAATTATGATTTTCATGGTATACATAGGTGTCAAAACTTTTTAAGAAGAAAGAAAATATGATTGTGTTTTTAATTTTTCTACATTGCTTGATCAAATTCATCCTCATTTTCAACTGTACATCTGTTGCAACTAACCTTTTCTTCTGTCTCCAGGTTGTAAAGAGAGAGATCTTTGGGAATGTCCATCCAATAAACAGTGTTTGAAACACACAGTGATCTGCGATGGTTTCCCAGACTGCCCTGATAACATGGATGAAAAAAACTGCTGTAGGTGCTAACATGAATTTGTCAACACAATGTTTTTATTGTAAACACAAGTCATTTTACTTTGAATACAAATTAGAAATTTGGAGAAATGTATCAAAATCTTTTAGCTTATTTAAATCATACATGCCAAGAGGAAATCAGACATGTAAAATGTAGACACATGTTATTATTCTAACATTATTTGTAAAATTATGGAAAAATTAATAACCACTGAAATATCTAAAAATAGGTGATATAAAATAAAAACATGTAATGAAATAATGGACAAACATTAAAATCAAATTAGAGAGGAATAGTTTCTCCTGGGTTCATTTCATAACTTTAGTTGATGTGCATTGGTAAGCTTTCCGTTACCGTCACAAAATATCTGATATAATCAACTTAAAAAGAAGAAAGGATTATTTGGGCTCAGAGTTTTGGAGGTTACTACAGTCCATGATTGGGTAGACTCATTGTTTCTTGGACCTGTGGTGAGGCAGCATTTCATGTCAGATAGCATGAGCAAGGAAGATCTGTTTGGCTCATGATGGTGTGAAAAGAGAGGAAAAGAAAGGAATTGGGATCCTAATGTATTTTTCATGGGCATACTTCCAGTAACTAGAAGATATTCCACTAGACTTCACCTCTTAATTGTTCCACTATCTCCTTCTAGTGCCACAGGCTGTGAACCAAACCATCCACAAAAAGGCCTTTAGAGGATATTCATAGTAGTTGAATGAAACAAAGTTTCAATATTATGTGAATTGTTGCCCTGAATTTTGAAAGAACATATGCTGACATATAGGAAATGATTAGAAGGTCACGAAAATTGACAATTATAATCCCTGAGTGGTGAGGTTATTAAATTTTTGTGTTTTAAAATTTTTGTTTTAATATCTGAATGAATAAACATCATTTTCAGAACCAGAAAAATTATCTCTTAGGATATTTTACTAACAAGTTGCAGAAAGCCCAATTCACAAGGACAATGAAAATATTCATAATCTTTTATTATCATATGTATTAAATATGTCTCCTTATCATGTAAAAGTGAAGTGTAGGGTAAATTCTTGAGACCCTGTGTGGGAGTTCAGCACTTTGTGATTCTCAGGCTGGCTAGTGAACAGCCACAAAAGCCTGGGGTGCCCAACTCCCTTGGTCATATTCAGTAGGAAGGAGATAGAATTTTGCTCTTATCTCTGGAATATCACTAAAGGATTCACTCAGGTCAACTTTGGTCAGGGTCACTGCTAACAGTTGGGCACCTTTGTGTAGATGAGAAAAGACGTTCTGCAAACAGCTGAATTCCAAATAGGAGCTCCAAGCAGGGGAACTAATCAGAAGAAGATGTTGTTTCCTCAGGCTACCTCTGTCCCAGTCTGGGGCACAAAGCCCCGTCAGCAGGGTTTTGGGCAGAAGCTGTCTTGCAAAGCATAACCCATAAAACCGTAGGCCAAGGCCTTTGTTTGGGATCATATTTGGAGTATTAGTTGTACTTAGAAAACAAAAATTGAATTCAGAAAAATGCCATGCCCACCTTAAACTAATCAGGATGCATCAGCTGGGGATGATGGATGTGGAGCCCTGAAGAAAATCAGGTTTCCTTAGAAAAAGAGGAAAGGAAATGGATGCTAAGTAGGAAACCGAGGAGATTTATTATAATATTAACTCCTCCTCCCCCAAAATTATGTGTGACTGAGAGAGTAATTTAATAGTAGGTTTTTTTTTTTGTTTGTTTGTTTTTTAAGAAAAACAAACATGTCCATTTATGTGAACAGAGCTTGTTTCCTTCCTGTGGTGTCTTTAGTCTGCTCATCTCTCTTGCTCTGTTCTTTAATCCTTGGTCTTTCTGTTGCTACAGGTACCTTTCCCACCCTCCCCCAACCTAGTCTGATTCTTACAACTAGAGAATCTAGGTACTTGGAGACAGTAATTCTGCTGAATTGCTATTTCGATGAGTTCACACCTATTCCCTGAGATTCCACAAGTTCTGTTATTCTGCCTCAATACCTGTTGGAAGGCTCCAGTGAGCACATATTCTTTTCCTGCCACGTTCCTCCTGGCAAATGAGTATGTGCGTGTTAGTGACAGTCACATTTATTTCCAAAATGTTTCAGTCTTCTCACTTCCTGTCTCCCCACCCCCACCAGCATTTTGCCAAGATGATGAACTGGAATGTGCCAACCATGAGTGCGTGTCCCGTGACCTGTGGTGTGACGGAGGAGCAGACTGCTCGGACAGTTCAGATGAATGGGACTGTGGTAAGCTGCTTGGTTTTGGCAGCTGTTGGACACTCTTGTGCCTGTCAGCCATTTCAGCTAAATGAATCCTAAATTACTTCATGGGTTTTACTAACCAAGTTCATTTATTTTGTTTTACTGTTATAAAAGCTAACAGTGGTGATGCATGGATGTTATTTCCAAGCCACGGAAAGTTTCTGTCCAAATTACTCCTATTTGAAATGTCTATATTGCATGTGAAAACTTTTGGGTTCCAATTTTTGTAACCATATACTTCCTAGAAGAGATTTTTTTTAAAGTTTTTATTGTCACTCAGCTTTAATAATGATAGCCTCTCATTCTTGAATGATTTATACTTAATAATGATAAATTTATACATCTCAGAAGAGGGTATTATAGTGGTTCCTCCATCTGCTCTGTGTTCTTGCTCCACATCTGAATGGGACTTGCATCTAGTTCCTTACTAGCTAGGATTTAAAACATTTCCTACCAGTACCACCAATGTGGCATTTCATAATCTTGAGTTATCTGATTAATTCCTTCATTCCACATCCATCTCTCCTTCCATTTACCTGGTTCTCATTTCAGTCCTTTGTGTCATTTGTGATTTGGTTCAATCACAATTCTCATGTGTGTTGTGATTAGTTGCACAGTGTCACATAAATGATCTGTGGCTCATTAAGCACAGAGGCTGCTCTTTTACAATACAGGAATTACTGCATACATGTTAGTCCTAAATTAGCTTCACCTTCACACATTTGCAATCTCATGTGCTTTCTCCTAAGGAAATGGTGTAAAGAGTTACAATTAGCTTCTTATAATGAATATGCAAATCCGTGGGCAAATTCAAGGTAGTGGGCCGGGCCATGTCTCTGGCCATCTTCTAACTCATGAAGGAAAAGTCAAGAACCGCCCGCCTATTTCATTAAAGTCTTCAGTTCTGATGCATTAGTTTTTAGTTTTCATCACACTGAGATTAGTGATGTGCACATGGAGGATACTTTACAAATGGTTCTTTACCAAAATAAATAAGAATGAATGTATACAATTGAATCAAAGACATATAAAGTTATCACTTGGTTTCATAAAATGAAATGTTTTTAATTAGCATTTCCTGTCTTTCCCCCTCCTACCAGTGACCCTCTCTAAAAATGTCAACTCGTCATTCCTGACTGTCCACAGATCTGCAGTGGAACACCACGTGTGTGCAGATGGCTGGCAGGAGACCCTGAGTCAGCTGGCCTGCAGGCAGATGGGTTTAGGGTAAGGTCAGTAGTTTGTAGCACTGATGAATTTCTCAGAGGGTCTTGTGGAATTTGACAGTAATATTTTCTTCTGAATGCAGAGTGAATTAGTGCTCTCAAAGAGCTCTCAAAGCCGGGAAATGAATCAGGTGAGAGGACCTTCTTTAATTACAGGCACCTGCTCTGAAGAGTGTGGGCTGAGAACTTATTTTGATGAAGCTTCTAAAAGTAAATGAAGTAATTGTATTCTAAGTACTCCTGAAATGAAATACTTTTGTCATTTATAAAGGCATTAAGATGGTTTCCTTTGTGGAATGGGATGGAAAAATCTTGCAATTTCCCCCCAAGAGGTTATTGAAAATTCCTTTTTAAGTGACACAGATTTTTTAATAAATTGAGAAACAGAACTTGAAGTTCCTGGTATTTCTATTTGCTTTAAGTAATATAGGAAATGTAAATTATGAAGTAATTCATCATTTCTTCTTTTTAGCAGAATGAAAAGACACTCTAGGACAGTTTTGATACACTGAAATAGATAATTTGAAAGTTAGAGACTTACTATTTTGTGAAGTTTTCTTTTTCAGTTCCATTGAAGATGAAATCAATAATTTGCAGTGTCTTAGAAAATATATGTGAATGTGTGTGTGTATCTATCTATGCCTGTATGTATATGTAGATACATTTATACACATACACGTATACATGTAATATATTTCTTTTACTACTAAAATATGTGAGATTTTGGAGAAATATAGAAAGGAGAAAATAGAGGATAAAGGCCTTATAAAATTCTAGAATAAGTGGGGCATGGTGGCACATACCTGTAATCCCAGAGATTCAGGAGGCTGAGGCTGGAGGATCACAGGTTCAAAGTCACTCAGCAACTTAGTGAGGCCCTATGCAACTTAATGAGTCTCTGTCTCAAAATATAAAATAAAAAGGGCTGGGGATGCAGCTCAGTGATGAAGCACTTTGGGTTCAATTACTGGTACCAAAAAAAAAAAAAATCTAGAATAAAAAACTAAGCAGAGGACATTTCCCAGGATCCAGTGAGCAAACTTGGAACAATTTTACAATAATGAGCCATTCAATTATGAGATGGCAACTAGCAGCACATTTTGTTATCCTAGTTTGAAGAATTATGTAACTCCCAGCATCTTGTTTCTATCTCTCCACTGCAAAGACCCATATCACTGGAAAATTCAGTAACTGTAGATAATCTATGCAAATACAAAAAGCTTTAAATTTTGCCAGGCTGGGAAACTTGAATTTTTCAAGATCTATTGAAGTAAACTCCATTTTTTACAACTTTCTGATTGTGTCTACATGAAATGGGATATGATTGTGACTAGAGGTAAATGAAAAGCCTTTTGAACATGCTAAATTTGATCTTTCCTTCAATACCCAAGATATTTCTTAATGTACAAATTTGATTACATAACTATAGTAACCTTATTGAGAATTCTGAGGCAAAGTCAGAACTACAAAGATTTTACAACTAGAAAATTCTTTTTATCAAGCTACTCCAAATGTAACTCATCTATTGCAAATAAAAGGGATTCTGTTTTATATACTCTACTCTGTATTTCTTTTATTTTTTTATATGGGATTTTCTTATTGTGGTAAAGTACATATAACATGAAATTCCCCATTTTAGACACTTTAAAGTTTTCAGTTCAGTGACACTTAATATATTTACAATGTTGTACACCCACCACAGCTATCTAGTTCTAGAATGTTTTCATCAACTCCAAAGAAATGATAAAACCATTAGACATCACTCCCAATTTCACCCTATTCCAGGCCCAGGTAACTATTAATCTGCTTTCTGTCTCTACAGATCTACCTGTTCTGACCATTTCAATATAAAGAAAGCATACAATATGTAATCTTTTTGTCTGGTTAATGTTTTCAAGCATCTTTGTTATAGTATGTATTAATATTTCATTCTTGTTTATAACTGAATAATATTTCATTGAATAGATATACCACATTTATTTATCCATTCAGATATTTGGGTTGTTTCCACTTTTGCTCTTGTACAAATATTGGATTTAAAAAACACTTATTCCTTTTGCTCCATTTTCTTAACAGAGCAGGAAAATGAAATTTTGAAATTAGCTATCTTAGATATTTCAAATCTATATTGACATGATATTTTCATTTTAGGTAAGTTTATTTCACTGAAGGGCTAAGAAAATGAGATGGAAATGTAGATGATAAACCATACTTACCATTTGCTTGGATTAATAGGTGATGAAAAGCCTAGTAGTGTCAAGTAGTGAAAAGTCAAGTAGTGTCAACTCTTCCCAGGAAATAAGCACTAGAGCTTTTGTACTATTTGATTGCTTTCAAGTTTACTCTTCAGTTTACTTGAGTGGCTCATACATTAACAAGGGCTAGACTGGGACAGGAATGAAAAGAATGGACAAGATGCAGCCAAATTCCTGCTAAGGAAATGGTTGACTTAGGAAGCTGCACTTTGCAACAGTCTCTGGAGACCAGCTGCTGCGCTGCAGATTCACAATTCTGCCACTAATGGCACAAAAGAATTTTAAGTAACCTTGAACCATGTGCAATACCCTTGATAGAAGGGGTTATCTGGCCATGCTTGGCCCACACTTCAACTGCCAACCTGGAGGAGAGGGAATGACTCACCTTCTAGCCTCTGGGGTATAGTCTCATGCCACTGGTCTACCTTTATGCTTTCAAACATATTCTGTACCAAAAACTTGAAGTTAAATAAAGCAACCCTCAATTAATTCTATTCAGTATCCTCCCATTTTGTTTTTTGAGTATCTGCTTATGGGCCCTGTACTGGGCTAGGTATAACATCAACAGAGTTTTTAATGTAATAGGGAAGACACACAGGGAAACAATTGTGAATATAAAAGTTAGAAAAAAGTTCCGGATCTTTTGTTTTCTTTTTTGTTATCTGCAAATAGCAGAGTTCATGGCATTTCTATTAAAATTATATAAGAGAAACATTCTACTCTAATCTTATCTTTGGAGGGGGGCAGGGCACTGGGGACTGAACTCAAGGCCACTTGGCGACTGAGCCACATCCCCAGTCCTATTTTGTATTTTATTTAGAGACAGGGTTTCACCGAGTTACTTACACCTTGTTTTGCACCTGGGTCTCACTGAGTTACTTATGCCTTGTTTTTGCTGAGGCTAGCTTTGAGCTTGCTGTCCTCCTGCCTTAGCCTCATGAGCTACTGGGATTACAGGTGTCTGCTGCCATGCCTAGCTTATCTTGATAGTAAAAATTCATTCAATCATTCATTCATTCAGCATGTGTAAGAATATCATTGTAGTGTAGTGTCTGTCCAACATTCTCTATCTCCAAGTGAGTCATTTATCTTCTTGAGTTTGTATTTTATAGAACTAGTTCATGAAGAATTCAGGTCTACATCAAATTACATTGCAAGGATTCTATTTATATACTTCCAGGTAGAGGCAGTTGACTAAAAAGACCCGAACTTAGCAGTAATAAAAACATTAAAAAAAGACTTATGCTTAGGATTTTCAGACACAAGTTATGCCTTCCACGTCTTAGAGTGCAAATGGTAGGCTCTCAATTGTTTGTCTAAATGAGAAGATTCGGTGTTCTTTGATGAATTTGAAAAACTTTTTATTCTCATCTGTAGATTTTTCAAAAGTTCACTCCAAGATGGAAGAGTTCACTCTTTGTCTGCTTAGACAAAGGAATAAATCAACCCCCCTAAATACTCTTGACAGTATATTGACTTTGCTACCTGCATGTCCTATATCAAAAACATATGGACATTTATTTAATCAACAGTACAATTCAGGATTTGGACTTCCCTCTAATATTTGCCAAATGCTCAGCTGAGACATCTGGTATCTGAGGAAGTTAGTGTAAGGGAATGCAACTCTCCACGTCTCTTGGCTCCTTAAGTTCTGTCTGTAAAGTGAGATCATCTGGAAACTGTGTGTCTGGGCTCTACTATTTTGGCAAAAATTCCCTTATGGAGTTGACTGTAATTTGATTTTGTGATCTAATCCTTCAGAGTTGGTCAATGGAATAAGAATCCTTTCAAAGAATGTTTCTGTATCTTGTAAAACCACAGTCAAGACAGCATCTATTACCTTACCTAATAGTCCCTAATAATCTCTGATATTAGTTAGCATTTACATTGTAATTTCCTCCAACAGTTTACTTCCAGGAAAAAGTTTCTAACTTTGCATTGCTTTCGTCATGTAAGAACTATTTTTCCCAGGATGCGTTTCTTAGTGATTGACTTCCGTGAAACTTAAAGATAGATCCAGTTCTCTGTATTAGTAAACCCAACCCAGGCTGCTGGTCCTGTACATAGAGAAGCAGCTTAAAATCTTGTTATGATCTTTCAAAAATTGAAATATAATTCATATACCATAAAATTGACCCTTTAAAAGTACAAATTCAACAGTTTTTACTATATTCACAGGTAGTCATCAACACTAATTTCAAAACATTTTAATCATTTAAAACATCTTTTCATGTGTGATTAGCTGCTTGTATATCTTCTTTGGAGAAAGGTCTAGTCAAGTACTTTGTAACATTCTTGACTGATATTTATTTCCATAATTTACTATCTAGGAAGTTACAAGCCCTCATATTTTCTTTCAAAACGTTTATTTTGTTCCCTTTTGCTCACTTATTTATTGAACACATAATTTACTGAGTGCCTATTCTATGTTAGGCACTGTTCTAGGTTTCTGGAATTCAATGGTGAGCAAACAGACAATGGCCTTTGCCTCAAATAGCTTATATTCTACTATATGTGTTATGAAATCATAACAAATAAATAAATAAATAATATAGGATTTTAGGTGGAAAGTACCATGAAAACATTTTTTTAAAAACAAAGAAAAGGAAAGCACAGTGAACATAGCATATATAACAGCCCTGGGTTCAACCCCAGTACTACAATATAAGTAAAAAAATACTTTGTTTTTAGTTTGAGTAAAATGAATCCCATCAACTGACTAAAAGGGGTCATTTTGGCTATTGTA